ATTCTCCTGCCTCAGCCTCCTGAGTAGCTGGGATTACAGGCATGCACCACCATGCCCAGCTAATTTTTTGTAGTTTTAGTAGAGACGGGGTTTCACCATGTTGACCAGGATGGTCTCGATCTCTTGACCTCGTGATCCACCCTCCTCGGCCTCCCAAAGTGCTGGGATTACAGGCTTGAGCCACCGGGCCCGGCCAAGATGTGCTTTTTAAAAAGACTCACAAGTGTGCATTTTAGAAAATTTGAAACATAAATAGCTAACATTTAAAACAGCATTGACTACATACACATTTGAAAGGAGTATGCATTCAGCTCTGAGCCAAGTTCATCCAGCTAGAGTAACAAAAATCCGAGGGCTCTGCAAAGCCAAACTTTGCTATTTAAATACAATCTAGGGGAGAGAGAACTGGGCCCGCGCCTGCGTGCATTCTCTTCTTCTGTCCAAGTTGATCGCTTCCCTGCACCAAAGTGAGCAGTAGCCAACATGTCAGGGTGGGAGTCCTATTACAAAACCAAGGGCGATGAAGAAGAAGAAGAAGAGAACCTTGAAGCCAGTGGAGACTACGAACATTCAGGAAGAGATAGTTTGATTTTTTTGGTTGATGCCTCCAGGGCTATGTTTAAATCTCAAAGTGGAGATGAGTTGACTGCTTTTGACATGAGCATCCAGTGTATCCAAAGTGTGTACATCAGTAAGATCGTAAGCAGTGATCAAGATCTCTTGGCAGTGGTGTTCTATGGTACGGAGAAAGACAAAAATTCAGTGAATTTTAAAAATATTTACGTCTTACAGGAGTTGGATAATCCAGGTGCAAAATGAATTCTAGAGCTTGCTTGACCAGTTTAAGGGGCAACAGGGACAAAAACGTTTCCAAGAGCTGATTGGCCACAGATCTGACAACTCACTCAGTGAACTGCTGTGGGTCTGTGCCAGCCTCTTTAGTGATGTCCAGTTCAAGATGAGTCATAAGAGGATCATGCTTTTCACCAATGAAGACAACCCCCATGGCAATGACAGTGCCAAAGCCAGATGGGCCAGGACCAAAGCTGGTGATCTCCGAGATACAGGCATCTTCCTTGACTTGATGCACCTGAAGAAACCTGGGGGCTTTGAAATATCCTTGTTCTACAGAGATATTATCAGCATAGCAGAGGATGAGGACCTCAGGGTTCACTTTGAGGAATGCAGCCATCTAGAAGACCTGTTGCAGAAGGTTCGCGCCAAGGGGACAAGGAAGTGAGCACTTAGCAGGTTAAAGCTGAAGCTCAACAAAGATACAGTGATCTCTGTGGGCATTTATAATCTGATCCAGAAGGCTTTCAAGCCTCCTCCAATAAAGCTCTATCAGGAAACAAATGAACCAGTGAAAACCAAGACCCGGACATTTAATACAAGTACAGGCAGTTTGCTTCTACCTCGAGATACCAAGAGGTCGCATATCTATGAGAGTCATCAGATTATACTGGAGAAAGAGTAGACAGAAGAGCTAAAACGATTTGATGATCCAGGTTTGATGCTCCTGGGCTTCAAGCCCTTGGTAATGTTGAAGAAGCACCATTACCTGAGACCTTCCCTGTTCATGTACCCAGAGGAGTCTCTGGTGATTGGGAGCTCAACCCTGTTCAGTGCTCTGCTCATCAAGTGTCTGGAAAAGGAGGTTGCAGCATTGTGCAGATACACACCCTGGAGGAACATCCCCCCCATTGTGTGGCTTTGGTGCCACAGGACGAGGAGTTGGATGATCAGAAAATTCAGGTCACTCCTCCAGGCTTTCAACTGGTCTTTTTACCATTTGCTGATGATAAGAGGAAGATGCCCTTTACTGAAAAAATCATGGTAACCCCAGAGCAGGTGGACAAGATGAAGGCTATTGTTGAGAAGCTCTGCTTCACATACAGAAATGACAGCTTTGAGAAGCCCGTGCTGCAGCAGCACTTCAGGAAGCTGGACGCCTTGGTCTTGGATTTGATGGAGCCTGAACAAGCAGTGGATCTGACGTTGCCCAAGGCTGAAGCAATGATTAAAACACTGGGTTCCCTGGTGGATGGATTTAAGGAGCTTGTTTACCCACCTTATTACAATCCTGAAGGGAAAGTTACCAAGAGAAAACACGATAATGAAGGTTCCGGAAGCAAAAGGCCCAAGGTGGAGTATTCAGAAGAAGAGCTGAAGACTCACATCAGCAAGGGCACACTGGGCAAGTTCACTGTGCCCGTGCTGAAAGAGGCTTGCCAGGCGTACGGGCTGAAGAGTGGACTGAAGAAGCAGGAGCTGCCGGAAGCCCTCACCAAGCACTTCCAGGACTGACCAGAGGCCACGCACCCAGCAGTCCTTCCACAGTGTGACCAGGCTGCCTGACCTTGTTCTCAGCCAGTTAAAATGTGTTTCTCCTGAGCTAGAAAGAGTCTACCCGACAGAAGTCGAGGGACTTTATGTTTTTGAGGTTTTCTGTTGCCATGGTGATGGTGTAGCCCTCCCACTTCGCTGTTCCTTACTTTACTGCCTGAATAAAGAGCCCTAAGTTTGTACTAGAAAAAAAAATAATGCAATCTAATTACACCCATACTTTATGTGATGTTGCCATGGAGAAATATATTATGAATTCCAATTAGAAATGCCAGAAAAACCACTCCCTACCTAGAGGCATTGGGAAATAGCTATAGCAGGTCATCTGCCCTTAGCCAAGGTACATAGAAAAAGAGACATTTTCCATGTAAGAGTGAGTCGTGTCTCTAGGTCAGTCACCACGGGTTACCCACAGTGCAGTAAAAGGGATTTGCCTTTAAGGAGGCCACGAATGTGCACCGTTCTCATCCCTCCTCTCATCCCTCTCTCATCCCTGAGGTGCTCACTCATGTGGCTGCTCATTCACAATGGGGGCATCTCTAATTAGGGGGACTACTTTATATGTTACACCCCAGCAACATTTTAATCTAATTGTTCATGAGCCCTGCTGACTCTTAATTACTGTTTTGGTCATGCACACAGCAGTGACAGTAATTCCAAATTAAAAGGTGAGTGATTGGTATTAAGCATTGGATTAACTTTGTATAATAAATACCAATACTTGCTAAATATACTGGAGCCAGCTGACGACCTCTTTAAGATGCAGCCATCTAACTAAAAATGCTCTGTTTACCAAAAAGGAGTTTGATGTTATTGTCTTGTTTTGTTACTTCTGCCTTTAGATTGCCTCTGTATCTGAAAAACTAATTTTGAGTGTTCCTGTTTCAGATGACTGAAAATTGTTCTAAAATGCTATGCAATCCTGCCGAAGGAGGCATTGTCCAATCAAACCGACAGATTATAATAAAGAGGGATTTTGTAAGATTATATTGATAAAATTTTGTAAGATTATATTGTTCCTTCGGAAATGGCATAACCAGCATTAAATCAATCTTCAAATAGTTCCTTAAGTTTTAATAATTGAAAGTTTTGGGTTTCCTTCCCTAATTATTCATCTTGAGCTTTTTATAGAATTTCTTGAGTTCAGAACACATTAGGGCCATGCGAGGGCTCTTCCAGTATCTGGTGAGAAGTGATTAACACACAACAAAACATCGCCTGTAACAACTTCTAAATTTGGGGAAAGTTGGAGGTCTGAAGCTATGGGCCTTAGAAGCAAAATATTTAACCTGCTTCCTCCATTCCAGAGCCAGTGAATGTTTTGAATAACTATTGCTAGGAAGATACCTTGGGGAAAGTTACCGGAACTTCCTTAGTTTCTCCTCATGTTGACAAATAATCAGTATCACCCACAGACGTTTTGCATTTAATTAGGGCTTGCATATACCCTGTGGTGCCCCTAGCAAATGTGGGCATACCTCTGGGAAATGGAGATCCTATTTCACATTTAGTGTTTCAAAAATATTCCTCCATGTGTCAACAAAGCCTTTGCTTTATCTCATATATATATTTTTCAAACATCCAGAGGAATTGGTAGAAACACAGTGGAGAGAGAAGGGAAACTGTGGGAATGGATGGAGTTGGTACTCTCTTGAGGACTAATGGTCTTTACTTTTCACTTACATGCCACCTAAAGAACACTGAAAACCTATGGACTCCATGCACATTTTCAAGTTCACGTCTAAAATTTTTATCTTAAATTTAAATGATTATACAGTATGTAATTTCAGATATTATGTGTCACTTATACTTTTTATGACCAAACAAACATCACTTTTGTTATCTTTTAAATACTAGAGCAATTTTCTATCCTTCATCATATATTTCACAGTACAAGAACAAACTTTTATAGATATTTTGCATCATTTCTTTTCCTACATAAACTTCTGTTTCCATTCTATTTCCTCCTCAAAATATTACCCTAATGTAATATTTTCATGCTTGAAAATATTTTATTGGTTACCACCTGCAACAAAGTGGATATATAAATTGAAACAATTTTTCTTTCTATGTGACTATAATATTCTAAGTTTTAAAAATATTTTGTGGATTAAGTGATCATTACAATTAGTAGTATACACTTACATATAAATGACACAAACATATTGCAATCTATAACAAATATTACACAGAAGAAGTGTTCTTGGGAAACAATCTCTTAGTAATACAGGCAGAGCATTTTTTCCCACTAGCTCATGTACCTGTGAATAAATATTACATACTGCTAAAATGAAACAGGGTTTAGCAACAGTTTGTTCCTTCCTTCCCCTCCATCCCTTCCTTTTTTCCTCCTTCCTTTCCTTTTTCCTTTTTCCTTTTCCCCTTTCCCCTTTCCCCTTCCCTTCCCTTCCTCTTTCCTTCTCTTTATCACTTTCTGAGATAAGCACAAATGAACTTGTTAAGGTACAAACCTGGATGGATATAAATGGAAGGAGAAACATATGACAGCATATACCCTCCAATTTGCATTAATTTATTAGTTACTTCATTTTCTCCTTCTTCAATTTGGTTGGAAGGAAAAATTTAGAATGCATTTGCCTCAGGCTAAGGATTTGTTAATCAGTCATTGAAGTAATTCTATCTGATTATTGAAAAAAAATTGTTTTCTCAAAGTCGGTACCAATCTCTTAGACAGTTTCTTCTTTTTGCCCACTAGAGGTGTTGTGTCCTGGGACAGTGCACTGTCTGCCTCGGGGATGGGGCCAGTTTGCTGTTGTATTGTCAAGTGGAAGGAAGAGGCTTGTGGGAAAAGCAAGCCTTCGGATAGCAGCCACTTTCTCCAACAAGCCGTGTGAGGGTCAAGAAGCTGAAGCTCTGAAAACTGAGTCTCTGCTGGGTGCAGTGGCTCACGGCTGTAATCCCAGCAATTGAGAGACCAAGACCAGCAGATCACTTGACTTCAGGAGGTCAAGGCCACCCTGGCCAACATGGCAAAACCCCGTCTCTACTAAAAATACAAAAATTAACCGGGATTGGCAGTGCGTGCCTGTAATCCCAGCTATGCGGGAGGCTGAGGCAGGAGAATCACTTGAATGACTCATCCCAAAGCTCTATGGAGGTGGAGGTTGCAATGAGCTGAGATTGTGCCATTGCACTCCAGCCTGGGCGACAGAGTGGAACTCTGTCTCCAAAAACAAACAAAAAATCTACAATTAAAAAGCAAATGAGTCTTTTTTTTTTTTTTTTGAGACAGAGCCTCTCTCTGTCACCAGGCTGGAGTGCAATGGCTTGATTTCAGCTCACGGCAACCTCCACCTCCCAGGTTCAAGCGATTCTCCTGCCTCAGCGACATAAGTATCTGGGATTACAGGTACACACCACCACACCCAGCTAATTTATGTGTGCGTGTGTGTGTGTGTGTGTGTGTGTGTGTGTGTGTGTATATATATATATATATATATATATATATTTTAAGTAGAGATGGGGTTTCAATGCCAGGCTTGTCTCGAACTCCTGACCTCAAGTGATCTAGCTGCCTCAGTCTCCCAAAGTGCTGGAATTACAGGCATAAGCCACCGTGCCTGGCCCAAAAACCTTGAGACTCTTAAAACTAGACAACTGCCACCATATACCTTTGAGAGAAGCTATGTGCTCCCAGGGGCATGCGTGATCCAGTCTGAATATCATTATTGTAAATAATAAATATTTTGCTATGTGGCTGTTTGTTCTAAGGGAAAATTTCTCATTATGAATTTAGTTGCCCTACAGATGCTATTTAAAAAGCCGCATTAGGTGGAGTTCTGGTATCTGTGTACCACCTTGCCTTGTCCACTATCTCCCCAAGCCCACTTAATACACAAGCCTTTGTCGAGCCTGTGGGTAGCTGTAGGTGGCAGGGAGTCCAGTAGGAATGGGGGGAGTTGGGGAAGGAAGTGAGAATTTTGATGTCCTTGGGAACTGAGATGAAAGGCTTAGGTGATACGGTTGGCCTATCTCAACTTCCTGACCCATTTTGTATGCGTTTATTGATAACTGAGCTCATCTTCCTTCTCATTTCTGAGGAGAAGCCCTCAGTCCAAGGGCATTACCTCCACCTGTGCCTTTATCTCCTCTCCTCCAGAACTCTGCCCTGTGACCCGCCATCGGCTCCATAATCCCAACCTTTCCTTCTCTGTGATTCTTTTCCTTTAGTTATGATTATGCTCAAGTCTGTCTTATCCTTCAGAAACAAAAGCAAACACAAAACCCCCCTTTCCTTGATTAATTTCTTGCTAGCTTCCTATCTCCTTCCCTTTCCTAGTTCCTCATTTCTAACATGACAGAGATAATAGTAGCTGCATTATAGAGTTATTGAGGAAATCAAATGAAATAATACCTGCAAAACATACAAAGCTCTGTCTTTACCAGTAGGACATCACTAAACCGTAGCAATTATTATTAGTAGTAGTAGTATCCACACTTATTTATATTTAAACGTCTCCATTTCTTTAAAACTCTCATTCACTCCTTGATCCACAGAATTATTAATATTTATCCCCAAACTCAATTGATATTGTTCTGGTGAGGCCACTTGCGACCCCATTCTAAATCTAGTGGACTCCTCTGAGCCCTTACTTTTGCGGATGCCTTACTTAGATCTGCTGTCTCTCTCTCTCTGACAGTTCCTTCTTGGTCTTCTTCAAACAGCGCTTGTTCAGCCACTACCTGTTGGTGTTTCCCAGGGCTTCATCTTTGACCCAAATTGTTATTTTTCTCCATACTGCTTTGGGATGAATCTTAATTTCTCCCTAGTCTCAACCTCTCCTGAGCTGCAAGTAAATATTTTATGGATTGTTAGAAATATGAATTAGATGCCTCATGGGCAACTCAGCCTGAAGCTGTACACAACAGAATTTATCATTTATCTTGCACTCTTTCAGTCTTTCCAACAACATATTTCTCCCCAAGCCCTTCTCCTTTATCAAAAAAATGGCACCACTCCCAGTTAGGTGTCATTACGAGCAGTTACCTAAGCTGGAAAGCGGGACTCAGGGCAGACCTCTCCTCTCCTAGTCGGGCAGCTAGTGCAGTCAACACTAGTGCACTGAGTGGAGACTATGTGTCAAGTAATGGGACACCAAGTCCTGTCAGTTTTTTCTCTGGCATATTTCTCAATCCATCTTGCTTTTTTCCACATCTACTATTATTGCCCTAAGAATAATTTATTCCTATAGTAATGATAATACCTTCTTTGTTAACATCAATATTATTATTTCTTGCTTAAAGAACAGCAAAACCTCCTACTTGGTCTTCCTGCCACTAACTAGTCTTAAATGTCTCCAGTCTTTTCTCCCAAATGCTGTCAGAGCGGTAGCTCCAAAATACAATTAGGACTGTGTTGCTCCCCTGACTGCAGTCCATTGCCCGCAAGATAAAACTCTAGGACTGACCGCAATATGCATAATTGTCAATCACTTGGGCCTTACCTGCCTCTCTTCAAAATGTTCCTGCCCTTTCTTCTTACAGATTCCCCATACTAATGCCAAATTCAAGGATCCTGTGGCTTTTCTAATCCAATTGTTTCTTCTGTCTGTATTCCCTTCCCCTCATCCTCTGCCCATTCATCTGGTAAGACTCAGCTCAGGCTGGGTTAGGTGCTCTCATACTACCTGGGCTTATTTCCAGCAAAGCATTCCCTGCATTAAAGGAAAGGATTAATTCACATGGCAGTTGTCCTAGTAGACAAGGAGCACATCTAGACCCACACTTTTATTTCATCTTTGTGCCCCTGCTACCTAATATGGTACAGTACTAAGTCAAACACTAAGTGCTCAATAAACATCTAAAGAAGGCTGGTTGGGAAGGGGACACAGGGAAAGTACTGGAGGGCTCTGGTGGGACCTGCAGCAGTGTGGGGGGGATGAGACATCCTCAGGGCTTCATGGAGAGAGAGTGTCTCAGCTAGTGGCTATCACATACAGGCTATGTTCACTTCATCATTGTCAATACTTCCACATCATTGCCAACACCATGGTTAACATTGATTGGGTTCTGATGATGTGCTAGGCACTATTACATTCTTTAGATAGCTGAATTTATTTAACCTTCATTTCTAGCTCTGCAAGGTTGGTACCCTGACTCGCCTCCTTTTTAAATATTGAAAAACTTAGAGAAAAGTAACTTTAACTTGCTCTAGGTCACACAGCTCATAACTGGTTGAGGAAGAAATAGAACCAAGTCATATGACTCATGCTTCTCTTTTCTAAGCTACTATGATCCCTACCTTCATTGTTGTTAACTCCTGATCATCCTTCAAGTTACCACTCAGTGTGGATACAGAGCAACAAAGCAAGTTATGTTTTTTTAATCTTTTTTTATACTTTTAAACTTTTTATTTTGAAATCGTTTTAGACATACAGAAGAGTTATAAACTCAGCAAGGAGAGTTCCTGTATATACCACATTCAGCTATCCCTAAGGTTGGCATCCTACAAATATGCAGTACAATGGTCAAAACTAAGAAACTGACATCGGTACCACACTATTAACTAAATGCAGATTTCGTTTAGATCTCACGGTTTTTCCACTGATGCCCTTGTTTGGTTCCAGGATCCAATCTGGGATCCCACTTTGCATACTAGTTGACTCACTAGGATCTCCTTGGTCTCCAGTCCCTGGCGGGTCTTCAGTTTTCCTGTCTTTCATGACTTTGACACTTTGGAAGACTAACTCATCATTCTGCAGAATGTCCCTCAATTTGGATTTGTCTCATGTTTCCTCATGGTTAGATTGAGGTTATGCATCTTTGGAAAGAATCTATAGTGG